CGTCCCGGTTCACAGGTCCACTGCTTCGATGTGTGATCTGAGTCTTGTCGGTGCCTATGGAGTGCAAGCACCCGTCCCTGTGACGACGCTCAAAGCACCCTCGAAGAAGCTACACAAGAAACTGTGCTCCACAGAGCCGCAAGCAGGTGCAGACAACGAGGAGGAATCCCAGGGGGAGGACGATGAAGTGGAACCTGAGGTTTGTGGGGATTCGGAGATCATCGAGGGGATGCATCTTTTGATGGAGGAAGCGGCAGCTTTCGCAGATGCTGATCCTGATGATGATGAGGACGGCTGCGACCAAGAAATTGCGGCTGCTTGCGCCGCGCTCAACAAGGCCGTCGACGAGTCTTCCCGGGCCACTTATGTTTCCGACTCCATCGAGCAGGATGAAGAGCTGTTGCGCACGGAGCTTCGAGAAGAGGTCATGGAAGAAGTTATGTTATGGGCAGATAATGAACGAGCACACGATGCCTTACGCACTGGCGTGTGCCCGATGCTACCTCCCCGTGTTGTTACATCCTTTCCTACAGCTGACATGGACGTAGACGGGCACGCGCAGACTGTCGAGGCAGTGCTGAATCAGGCCAGTGTCATGGGCAACAGCGACGACTATATGAATGAGATTGATGTCAACGGTGCCGAGGGTACAGGCGGGTAGACTAACACAACCTGGGTCCGGGTATTCTTTCTAGTGTCTTGCCAGGACTCATTTGACTAGTTGACACTGTTTGACAGGTTCATGAAGTTCATATGATTCATACCCGGTTCATACCCGTTCTCTGTTCACGACTCTACAGCTGACCCATGTGAGTTCATGTGCACTGCACTGCATTTTGCATGTTGGTCATGTCGCGGAAGTGCCAGTCAGTCAGAGTAGATTGGAAACGGGCAATCCCGGGACTTTCACGTCGTCACGTCCCCGATCGCCCAAACTGATATTATATCAATGTCACATCACGCCGCACTCTCGCACAGTCACTTCACACACGCTGGACACACGCTCATTCAGTCCAGTTCACATGCGCCACAAGCCACCAGACAGTGTGTGAGTGTCTGGATGTCAGTCCTGGATATCAGCTGTCGAGAATCTTAGTGAGTCGTGGTCCTGGCGTTTCCCGCATCCGCATGTGACCATGTGTCCCAAGGTCAATCAAGCGGCACGGGTGGTGTCGTTGCTGACGCAGCTGCTGCCTTGACTCAGTGGTTGTCCTGTGTACACAAAGGAATCGAGTCACTGGACTACTATGTATGGTCTCAGGGCAAGCCTGCCGGCCGAGACTCGGAATCAGGAGTCTCATTGGTGTCTCTGCCTGAAGTATCAACGGAGTCCAACTCCAGGATCACGCCGTCCCATGAACCAGCACAGTTCGTGTTTGTGCAGTGGACAGACCCTGGCATCAGTGGGCGGATTGCTGATTTTGATCCGAACACAAACCGCTTGAAGTGCATTGTTCCAGTCGGAAACAAACGGCAGCCCATGAACTTCGTCGAGAAGGGTGCATCGATTCTGATCCCTGCCACAGGTGTGCGTGTACTACGTGAGCGAAGGACCCAGTCGGCATTGCACCAGTTTCAGGCCAATCAAGTGCCGGCCGTGCTGGTCCGCCTAATTGACATGCTTCGTGCCGGGCAGAGCAAACTACTGGATGGTATCGATCTTGTGATGGACGATGACGATGGTGCGTGCTTCGTTTGTGGGCAATGCGACTCTGTGCCCGAATGTGCTGGGCGAGATGTGAGGCTGGCAGAGACCGAGACGCCACAGACCAGCCAGTTGGGTCCGCTAGCCCTATGCCCCGTCTGTTTGATGCACAGTCACCGCAGTTGTTGCGAGAAGGTCCTGGCACATTGTCACTCGTGTGTGGATCAGGGTTTGGAAATGGCAAACTGGCCAAGTCCCGGTGCATGCAAGTCTTCCTCCGACCTTCCTCGGGCACTTCACGATACCGGCATGCAGGGGGCCTAGACTGTGTCTTAGATGTTGTGTTTGTGCATTGTCTACGTTGCTCGTGCAAGTCGGACAGACATGGGTAGGCTTGAATCGGATTGATAGCACTTTCGTTTCCATGGCACGCTGGCATGCATGTCATGATGTCAC